ATTATGCAGCAATGATACTCAAATTGTAGACCTGAAATATGATTATTATAGTAAAAGAAATGAAAACGTGAAAAATAAATGTCTTTAAATAAATTTCGATTTCTGGTATATTTTTCTACAACTAAGATCTGAATCATATTAGATGAATTAAAGAATAGCTTCATTTCCTTGTCTAAGATATAGTACTACGATCCTTATCGCTCGGCGTTACCCATATCCACTACAGTTTATTTATAGCAAATTAAAGTATATAATACTCTATCTCTAGTATCCACCCATCTTTCTATCCATATACTAGGTATCTGCCATTCGAGAGACAAAGTTTCAAATTTGTTTGTTTGCTTTGCTGCATATTTTTAATTAAAAGTCGTATCACGTCCTACCCTATGATGCACGCACATATTACCTGAAGCGGATAAATTTTATTTTATAGCTTGGCTCTCGTTTCATGAAGTCCAAGAACAACAAATATATACATATCTATATGCATATATTGTGTTGTTAAATAATAATTATCAAACATTTTTGCTTGCTGCCAACTAGGTACTAGAACTTTACAAAAGGTATTTTAAATAAATAGGAGAAATATTTCTATGTATATATAATACTACAGCTAAGTACTTGGTTCTGCACAAAAAAGAGGACTGTCAGAAAAAAAAAATAGAAGAAAAGTTGTTGGGCAAATTGTTTTAGGGATTGCATGTTAACAAATTAGTTGTGCTTTTAAAGTTGAGCAGAGTTTTGGTAATTGCTAAAAAATAATATGCGTCAGGGGACACGATACATGTATGTACATGCATATGGGTGGCATGCCTCTTGGAGGACAACAAAAACACAAGGACACACACACACACTCACACTCGCACACACATTCGCACAACTGCTGTGGGTAGTAACTTTTAATGGTCGCTTCTAATTTATGCTTTTTGGTTATTTGCGCATTAAAAACTTTTGCGCCCACTTGCTGAATATTAATTTGAGTTTTGCTCATTTGCAGATTTTGGGAAAACGCTTGCAGCACTCACCTAATGCTGTCACAATTGATGCGCTGCCAACGTGTCGTGTGATAGAAGTGGCTGTTGCCATGGCCGGCAATGGGGAAAGTTTTGTAGGTGGACAGCAGCTCCATGATGGCCTGCAGGCAGACCTGTTTGATCTGGAACTGTTCCTGTTGATCGACCATGTGCTCATCGTACACCTTGTTGATCAGCAGCAGGAATGTCATGAAGTATTCCTCGAACTGCTGCCGTGTTGTATAGCCAAATATGGATAGCCTGTGGCAAATAGTTTAGAATATGTATTAGACGTCATCAATAATTAATGAATTGCAAAAATATGTCCAATAAACAGAGAGAAAGAGAGAGAGAGAGAGGCGAGGCAAGTGTGTATATACACACAAATATAAATTCAGTTTGTTGTCAACAAAAGCCTTTGCAAATTTAATTCAATTAGCTGAGCTTCTCAAATATTTAGCAGGCCAAAAATCTCAATTAGCCATTGATTAGTTTTGTTACGCTTGAAGCGTCTAACTTTCTGCCAAGCAACTACATAGCTTATTTCTCAAATATGCAACGTTGCCACGCCCATTTTGCTGTTTGACAAAAGTTGCTGCTGATGCTTTGGTTGCTGCTGCTGCTGCTGCTGGCTGCGTTCAGCGGTTTGTGCACAATTAGCAACTATGTGAGGCAACAGCAACGAACTGAATCCTCACATGCGGCGCCCTTTGGCTGCTGATTCTTCCATCTCGCTCGCACGCTCTTTGTCTGTGACACGCACACATGCATTTATCTCACTTTGCTGCTCATAATTTGTTTATATCGCTGGCTGCCTCCGTTGCGCTGCTGCTGCTGCTGATGATGTTTCTGTTACTGCTGCTGCTGCTGTTGCTGTTGCTATATCTTTCAGTTTGCTCTAAGCTCCCGCACCGCCCACCACATATAAACTGAAATCCCAACCCGCAGTGCTTGCCTTCGAGTCCAAAGTGCTTGTCTATACGCGAGTGCCAGCAGCCAGCAGCACTCAGCCTGCCCTCCCGCCCACAAGCCTGGCATGTCCTGTCCCCGGCTGTCACAGCACCATCTCTGCGTCGTCACAGTTTCATCTAATAGAGCTGTTGATGTTCCGCTCTAGCAGCCCTTTGGGGGATTTTGACGCTGCCGCGGGCTGGGCGCTTGTTGTGCGGCTGCCGCTGTACAGCGTGTGGTGCGATGCTGGGTGGTGCCTTTGCTGATGTGGTTTTGATGTCTGCGCTTTTGGCATGCTACGAAAAATACTTTGCGCGTCTGCTGCTTTAAAGGCAGAGCTGCGATGCGTGCAACTTTTAGGCTGGTCAGACGCACAAACTCAATCTCTGGCTGATGACAATTCAAATGCTGACAGCGTAATGATGACGACTGCTAACAATGACAAGAACAGAAGAAGCAACAGCAACAGTAACAGCAACAACAGCTGAAGCAGCAGCAGCAGCAGCAGCAACGATGTGGAAGCTGTCATTCGACAAGGACGAGGCAAACAAGCAACGCTCAGTCAAGGACAAAACGACGGACGAGCCGACAGCGGACATAAGCACTCCGATGACAATGACAGCTTACAAACACAAACACACACGCACACACATGCAAACTGCATCTAACACAGGATACTGTTGCTTTCAGTCGCAGTTTAGCCACTGTTGTCCTTATACACATTTCACATTGTCGTCAACGCTGCATGTTGCTGCCAAGCGCCTGTCAGAGCATTGTCAGCAACAATTGTCGTTGCTTTTATTGTTGTAGCTACAATAATTGTGCTGCTGCTGTCGTTGCTGTTGTTGCTGCTGCTGCTGCTGCTGCTGCTTCTGCTGGTCAGTCATGCATAGACCAGTTGAAGTCTTCAAGAAAATCATAGCCCAAGTGGCCCCAGGTAAGCCCCAGCAACAGGCAGCAATCTTAGCAGTTAATTAGCAGTACAAGTTGCCAGCAGCTCTACTCACCGCTTCACAAACTGACGCAGCACATCCACATCACTCAGGCTATCCACTGGTATTGTGGGCAACTTGCCATTCCCGCCGGCAGACGTTGGTGGTTGCTGCTCCTGCTGCTGTTGCTGCTGCTGCTGCTGCTGGACGAGCTCGTAAGGTGTCACTGCGTAGGCGTAAAACTGATGTGTGCGCAGCAGCGAGGTGCCAATGGAGGCGATAAGCGACTGCAAAGTGAGTGGGAGGGGGAGGGCGATGTTAGTTGTTGCAGCCTGGTAGGCCGGGCGAGCCAGTTTGTCACTTACCAGCGGCACTTGAAGCGGCGCCAGCTCATGGCCGGCGAAAGGCGAGCGAACATTTTCGTGTTCGGCCTGCAGCATGGATTCCATATCAATTTGCGTTTCAATCAATTTGGCCAGGAAAATGGCTTGCGGTGCCGGCTCGGCGCTGTGCAGACGATGCCGTTGATAGAAAATTGTATCCTGCAGCATGTGGCAAGCGGCGCGCACCGGCACTTGCAGCAGCTCCACACGCAACTCATTTGCACTGGCATTGAGCGTCCACCAGATGCGTGGCTGCTGCAGCAGGGCGTCCAGGCAGCCCAGCAGTACGCCCAGGCCATCATCCGGATCGCTGGCAGCTTCGAGTAGTTGCAGGGCCACGCTGGCCAGGCCACGCCCATAGGTCAGCAGCACGGGCAGCTGCTCAGCGCGCAGCAAGTGCTCGGCCACAAACTTTTCAATGTGCTTGGCATCGATGTAAATGAGCGCCGTTTGCTCCAGGCGCTGAATGGACAACAGCAGCGCGGTCAGCGCCCGGGCCACATCCAATTGCTCGGCACTGCCCACAGCCAGCTGCGTCGGCGGCTGGGCCAGGCGCGTCATCAGCGATGCACAGGCCACACGCGCCAAGGGCGGCAATTGCATGTAGTTGATGTGTGGCGCATGCTGGATGCACTTCTGCCTGAAGCTGGCCAGCATCGAGGAGAGGGCACCGTCGAGGGCGTGCCGCAGCAGGCGCGCTTCCTGTGCGGGGCCCAGGCTGCGCAGCACACGCTGCAGCTTGGCCTCCGATGGAATCTCGAGCAGCAGCCGCATCAGCTGCTGCTGCTGCTGCGGCGCATCAGCGTGCTGCGTGGCAAATTTGATTAGCTGCGGAGGCACAAAGCAAATGGCAACGTTTCACAATGGCGCAAGCAGAGCGCAGAAGAGCAGAGCAGAGGCGGGCCTCATAAATTAGCCAAACGCAGAGCTAAGTAGGGAAAGCACTTACCTGACCAAAGAGCCAGCTCTCATCAATTATGCGCGGCGCTGCTGCAGCCGGACTATTGTCCTGTGGGCACTCCAAGTCCTTCAGCCTGCCATCAAATAAAAATATGTAAAACATGCAATTTAAGTCTCAGGCTAGCGAGGAACAATCAACAACGAACATCGCACAGCAAATACACTTGCAGAAAATAATTGCAAATTTCACTTCCACTTTCGATTTGCCCCTCAACTATTTTTCTTGCGGCTAAGGGTGATTTCCAAAATCCCCAGAAAGGGATTTGCTTTGCATTTGGTGCACTTGTGATTTTTACCCTAATTCGATTTACTCAGCAATTGGCATTTTCACTCGCTCGCTGCGTGAATTGGAAAATTGGCAAGCTCAGTTAAGTAGCTTGGCTCGAGTGAAACAGAAATTGCAAATGCCCCAGAATTTGCATTACTTTTATATGTATTTGTGTGTGGCCCGATATTAATTGAAATGATCTACTCACAGCATGGTGCGCAGCTCGTCCTGGTCGTCGCCTCCTGCCAGCTCGCCTTGCAGCAGCTGCTCGTAGATGCTGCTCCTGATGGCCGGGCTGCTCTGGGCCGTCAGTCGTCGGGCGAGCCGCTCCATGGGCAGCTGCAGTGCTCGCTGGCCGTCGTGTAGCTGATGTAGTCGACTAAGCAGCTGCAGAGAGTGCAATGTGGTGGCCGCCACATCCACATCCTCCTGCTGCTGCGGTAAGCAAATGTAGTTCAACAGGCGCAAGGTGCTGCGTATCGAGTACTGGCAGAGAGAGAGAGAGAGAGAGAGAGAGAGAGAGTGCGTGAGAGAACAGAAAGCAAAGAATGCAGCGAACAAAGGCCGATTGGAGTGGGTAATGAATTCATTGTAATACAAAATATAAGGATTTCAACTCACTTTGTTCAAGTTGTGCGCCTGACGGATCAGCGCTGCCAGCAGTAATGAGCCGCACTCGGGACGCACTTGGCAGAGCTCGCAAAGGAATTCCAAGTGGTCAGCAATTAGGAAATTCAGATACTTGCCGGCGCACAGGCGACGCACTTGTTGCGGACTCCAATCCATTGCCTGCAATTAGTTGCTTGTGATTCACTTGTTGGCTGGAAAAACTCACCATCCCCTGCACCACCCTCAGCCCCCCCACAAGCATGGGCGTGGCCCAGCGGAGCCATTAGTGCCGACAAGTGGTGCATGTTCGAGTGGCAATCTATTAAAATAATGCGCGGCACTAAGCACAGCTTAAAGCCAAGCCAGACTGTTTAACTGACCATAAGAGAGAGAGAGAGAGAGAGAGAGCCGGAAACTGGAAACCAAAAACCGAACCCGACGCGGTGAACCGCAAAATTACGAGCACGACAACTGTCAGCTGGCCAAGGCTCGCTCTGCTCCTGCTGCTGCTGCTCCTGCTGCAGCTTGCGGCACAGCCAGTGGCCGAATCAGCTGCCAAATTCAAATTAAACTAATGTGCGACTAGCTGTGGCATCGCAACAAACCCATTGTTCAGTCCACTACTTACCACAGTGCAACGGCAAACTTCGCTCAACATGGCGCGCTGCAGGCTCCACTTGAGCGGCAGCTCGGCTGCCTGGCCCAGCAGCACCATTGGCTCCAGCAGCCGCATGGACAGCATCAGCTGCTGGCAGCCGAGCAGCACGGGCTCCAGGGCATCCCCGCCGGCGGCGCTCATCAGGAGTAGATTGTAGTATTTGCAGAGGAACTCGGATTCGGCCAAAACCAAACGAAAAACTGATTGCAGCGCATCCTTGTGCCGTGAGCGACAGCAAACATTATGCAGCGCGTTAACGAATCGCCCAGCCAGCTGGCAATAGGCATGGCTGGCCGGGCTCGAGCCCAAATCGCAGCCAGTGCCCAGGGCCAATAGCCCATCCAGGCAGCCCAACAGCTTCTCGCTCAAAACTTTCGCAAAGTAGTTAATTTCGCTTATGGCGGGACGGGGCGTGGCTCGTGTGGAGGCGGCGGCGCTGGCTCTGGCGGCAGCAGCTGCCGAAGATGTCGAAGGTGCTTCATCCTGCCAGTGTGTGGCGGCTGCTGCTGCTGCTGTTGTTGTTGTTGCGGCTGCTGCTGCTGCTGCTGCGGCCTGCTCGGCCTGAGGATTATTTTTCAAATAAAGTTTTATGTGATTCACCAGATAAATTTCTTCGGTTTTCAGAATTACATTTGCCAGCGTAATCATTGCCAGCGCTAAATCACCAAAGTTGCCAACGTCCTGCAGGAGAAAGAACGGGATAAATGTTAGTTGAGAGGAGTAGAGAGAAGAGCCGTCCACAGGGCGGCAAAGTGTGAAACTTTGCATAAATTGCAGTAACAAAGTTGCCAGCGACAACATCAACATATTTTCCGGCAGTAATTAGAGAAGGATACTCCCCACACACGCACGCACACACCGACTTCTGGTGTTGCCTGCAATGCAATTAAATTTGCTAGCTTTTAATTTCCAAATAAGTTGCTTTTTTTTTGTGAAACGCCTCCTGGTTGCATTTTTAATATTTACACGCAAAATGTTATTTAAGTTGTGGCGCATTTTCAATTTCAATTAAAATGTTTATGCTATAAACTTTTGCCAGCCCACACACCAGCACACACACACAAACACACACAGCGTATGTAGTTTGTGTGTGTGTGCGTAAGGCTGCTGCTCAGCCAGTCGTGCATTGACTTATACGCTCATTGCCCGACTTAATTACTCATGCCTACCTGGCTGGCAAAAAGTGCGTGGTTTGATACCCATTCAATACCCTGTAAATATGCAATGATGCATAAACGACAGACAAGAGCTTACATGAAGTATAGTAACTCCGTGATTTATATAGAATGATTTAATTTTCAATGATTACGTCTGCATAGAGATTTCCTTATAGGAAGTTTGCTTTATTGGGAGACATATTAAATCTATAAATTCTCAGATGGAGAGGCTCGTTTATGAAAATTTTTATTGATTTACAAAATAAACTGTCCATTGCTATAATTGTTTGTTATTTGTACTAAACAACAAGTTAATAAATGCATTGTCATGCCAAAATATAAATAAATTGCAGAGTATATCCTGCACAGTCATTCCCTGTTGTTAAATTCTGACTGAATTTTATTTTATTTTTTGTCGGCTCATCATGAAATTAAATAAACTGTAATTGGTTGAAGTTTTACGGCCGTGCTGTTTAATTGCGTTAATAAATTGAAGTGGAGTACAGCCGGAGCCAGCAAAATATTTATCAATGGACCGTGGCTCGAAAGTTAACGATTTAGTTCCGAGCATTAGAAGTGTGATGCCTCTATGTATCAAAGGATATGAGCCGAGCACGAGCTGGACAAGTCGCTACACATGTATGTAAGTAAGTGTCCACGTACTCACAAACACAAACACACACACACATTGACACACAAGTGCATTTGCTATGTAATTAAGTTGCGAGCAGCACAACAGGCTCTGGCACTGGCTCTGGCACTGGCTGGCTCCTGCTCCTGCTTCTGCCTCAGGCGCAACTCAGCTATGGCCAAGGGCAGGAGACGGGTCTGGGTCTGGTCTGGCAGGTCTTGGCAGGGCGACAGTTAATGCATGTGTAGCTTAAATGCGCATTAATAGTTGAAAATGTGCGGCGTTGAAGCGTAGGTATTAAAAATGTCACGTATACGACATGTGCCACATTAACTACGGCGCCACATGCAACACCAGAGGCAAAAAAACAAGTACACACACATATATACGTATATATTTATATGTGTATATGTATATATATATGCCGCAAGAGCAACAAAGTGCATTCGTGTGCATGTAAATGCAAATAAGCAGGCGCATTGCCGGACAGGTGAAAGGAGGAAGGGGAAATGACAAATCGCTGATGAACCCACACACCAACAACCAGCCAACAGTGTTGCCACACCCTCCCACACAGCTCCCGTCCAGGCAGCCACAGGCCACACGAGGCCAACTGATGCACGAGTGTTAAATGAACCATTTGCATTGCCTACTTTACGTGCAACGCCGTGTGGCAAACAGCTGAAATAAGCACAGAGCAGCACAGCAAAGTTCTAAGCCAGCTGACAATTAAATTGATATACAAATCGCTATGCGATAATATTAGCTGACTTTCATACGGACACATCCATTGTGATGCCTGAAATAATAATATTCACTGTACTTTTCACTCTATATCAAGTTTCTTGAATATCTATGTTGCTCTCATAATAAGGTACTTGAATATGTTGAACTAAGAGAGGCGAAAGAGTATAGATTTATATATAATCTTAGAGCAATATATGTAAGCATCTACAGGTTTTTAAAAGTATAATCTGTTATATATTATTATATTTAAAATATTTATATATAACACATAGGACAGCTTGTCGAATCAATCTATAATTTTTATGTCTCCCTGGATGAATTTATAACCTATAAGTGCTACCAACTTAAAGTTCACTAGAGCTTATTTATTTATATTATCTTTCAAACTTATTAAATATAAAGCTGAGGCTGCTCCACTATATGTTCATCATAGAATTTAATCTTTACTAATTTTAATACCAGAGTATTTATTCTTCGGTAAGCTCTCTTCTACCTCTGCCTTCCCCTACTTAAATCAATAATCCGACTTATTAAACACAAATCACTTCAAAGCTGATTTTGTTCGAGTAACTTGATCTTTAATGCGTATTACAGACGTCATATATGACTGATGCGCGATTCAGCAATGCTAGAGAATATGTGGAATTCATGACAGTGCTTGACATTATTATGATTACAAATTTTAATCGGCTTAAAGGCTGACAACTTTAAGTTGATAATCTGAGACGCGTCAAGAATGCATTAGAAATTTACGTAATTTGGCAATGCATGTCAATTATTCAATTTAGTTGGCTGCCTGCTCTGTCCCAAAGTGCATACTTGAGTAATTGACAGCAGTGCTAGAAATTGGCAGCTGCAGGCAATATGAATCGAAGGAAGCCATTGGTATGTGCGGCAAGCAGCATATTTTGTAATTGTCATTTCAAATGCCTGCGATGAAAGATAATATCACTTAGTGCATGCCGTTAGCAGAGTGTGTGGGGGAGACGTTATTAAACAATGAACGGCTGACACAAATGCATTTCAATACAACTTCGTGTTGTGTCCCATCAATATTTGAAGAGATTTGCGAGTTGCAAGTGCTTAGGTGGACATTAGATGGTCGCATATTTATGAGTGAAAGAAGTGCCGTGACCGCAGGACTTTAAGCGTTCGTTCATTTGGAATTCATTTACTGGCCGCCTGTGAACTTTCTGGCATTGTGCTCACCTGTTCGATGAAGAGCTGCAGCAGTTGCAGAAATTCCTTGCTGTCAGCCAGCACATAGTTGCCATTGTTGCGAAAACAGCTCTCCAACAGCCGCAGATCGACGAATGTGTGCAGGCGCAACTGTCCGGTGGCCAGCGAGCGACAGAGCAGGCCATAAAGGACGTTCGCATCCTGTGCGCTTAGATATTTCGGCGCGTCCAGCTGTTGCAAGCTCCGCTCGTACAGCAGCAACAGCGCCAGCAATTGTTGCACAACTCGCGCATCAACAAACTTCTCCAACATGCCCAGCACAACTTCCTTCTGTGTGTCCAGCTCGCGCCGTTGCGCCAACAGCGCCTCCTTTGTGTCCTGCGTAGCGACCGCCGTTAATGGACTCTGGCAGCTGCCTCGCTGCTGTTGCTGTTGCTGTTGCTCGTCCTCCAGCAGCGCCTCATCGAGGGGGCTGTGCATAAAGAACAATTCGTAACTGAGCGTTTTCAGCGCCAACAGCGCCACATCCCGCACCGCTCCAT